GCTCTTCCCCTCGTCTCGCTTGCGCTATGGGATGTCGGATGTCATGCCCTCCGGCCGAAGCAGGCTGCTGGAAGACTTTCGCAATAACCGGTACCCTAATTTACAGCTGAGGGAGATTGCTGGGCACATCATGGAGTTCTCCCAAGACCAACATGGATCCAGGTGGGATTAAAATCCGTGCGCTGCAGGAGAGCTGCTCTTTGAGGTAGCGTCGTTTGCTGTTTGCGTCGCGTCTTGAAGCAAAGAGGCAGAACAGGGAAAAGGGGGTGTGAAAAGCCAAGTAGTGTAGCGCTCTGACCCTTCTTTTTGAAGATTGTTTGGGTGGAAATGCTGATAGCAGGAGTTCCTCTTCTAAAGAGGAGCTTGCTTGCTTCGCAGTTTGCTTACTGGTCCCACTGGCACAGCTTAACTCATTTTAGAGAAGCCACTTGGCCACGAGACCTTGTGTATTTTTTCTGTTGAGATCTGCTTTGCTTGGAAAGAGGAGGCTTTTGGGATACTGACAATGACATGTGGCCATGGACCTCAGATTTCAAATTGCTGGATAGGGCAACTGTGTTTTAAAGACTTAGGTTTTTCAAGAGCTCAGTGCATGGGGCTTTTGAATGGATTTGTATTAACGAATATGTTGAGGGCGTATATGCCAGTGACATTTCACCAGTCCTATTTTTCAGGTTTATTCAGCTGAAACTGGAGCGTGCTACCCCAGCAGAACGTCAGCTTGTGTTCAACGAGATCCTCCAGGCAGCTTATCAGTTGATGGTCGATGTATTTGGAAATTATGTCATCCAGAAGTTCTTTGAAGTAAGTCTGCGTTCCCCTGCAAGTCTTACTCGGATGCTGCTCTCCTGAGGTGTTGGACAAGCTCATAGAAACCCTCCTCTTTGGCTAAAACGGTGGATATCTGTTGACATTGATGTAATCTCCTCCCCACAGGCTGTTACGTCATTCCTCTTGGGGTGACTGAGGTGTGGGGCTCAAAAAGATTCATCTGACAAGTAACACTTTGCTTTGAGATGCAAAAGGTGTAGGAGTAAATAGCAACACACCCAGGAGATGTAGGTCCAACAAGACTTTTCAAGGATGCTGTGCTCAGCTGTCAGTACTCATGTATTTAGGAACAAAAGAGAAACTCTTCCAGTAAACAGCACCAACTGGAAGAAAGTGCTGTGCTTTCATACCAGGAGGTTTGGCAGACGCCCATCTCTCTCTCTTGAAACTGGTCTGTTCCTTCTCCACCAAGCCTTGGTGGTTATGTCCAGTAATTTTATAGCACCCCTGTCAAGGGTTGCTGAACTGGCACGTGTCACCCTGGTGACTCCAGCACCTTTGGCTCTGGAGTTTTTCACATGCGCTGGGCATGTCTGACAGACGCAGAGCAGACGTCTGCCTCGTGCCCGTTCACATCCGTTGAGGTATGGTTGGTAGTTTCTTTCCGGCAGGTGCAGCGTTTCTTGTTTAACACTTCAGCGTGGTGGCGTGGGAGGGCTGCTGTGCTGCTGGGCTTTTGTGCTTGTAGTGATTGGTTTTCATCTTCCCAGTTTGGCAGCCTGGAACAGAAGTTAGCCTTGGCAGAACGTATCCGTGGGCACGTTCTGTCCCTGGCTCTGCAGATGTACGGCTGCAGGGTGATCCAGAAGGCCCTGGAGTTTATTCCCCCAGACCAGCAGGTAATTGTAAGTTTCAATTTTAACTTTCTTCTTGATGTTTAACGTTTCTTGCTGTTTGGTGACCTCAACTGCGACCTTCTGTTCCTCTTGTGGCTGGTGTTCTTTTGGTTTGGTTTATGGCATGTTTGTTACGTTTTATGTGCATGATAAGTACGTGACACTGGTCTTGGGTCTCGTCGGCATCTCCTTTTCCACTTAACTGGTGACGGCGTTGGTTCTCTGTTAATTGCCTGAAATCAGATCATGGATGTAGGAGAAACTGAGAATGATAGTGAATTAGAAGATATTTTTAGATCCCTCGAAGGAAGCAGTGCCAGAGTTTTGCCTTTAATATTCTCTGAGATATCACTGCTTTGAATGTGGGTCAATATTCTGCCTTCCTGCGGAGTGAGATATACGAGGAGCTCCTAGTTCCTGTCGAGCCAGGCCTGGCCTTGGAGAGATGTGGATGATAGCCAGAGTTCCACTCACAGCTCATTAATAAAGCGATTCCTCTAGGGTTTTATGAACAATGAATTAAGATGAAAAATACGCTAGGCAAGCTAGGTAATAAAGGTGTTTGAAATCTCATATTACGATTCCTATGTAGGTTATGAAATTAAAAAACCAAAAGGAGGAGTGTGCTTTCCCTTTAGGTCGAGCTGCTGCCTTAGTGTGTCAGCAGGGCGATGGGTGGTGGCCTAAACTCCAGCACTGCTGCTCTGAGGGTTTACTCATTGTCTTCCTGCAGAATGGTGTTTTTGAGTACTCTGCACTCCCGCAATGCCTGGCTTTGTATCAGTTGCAAAAGTGAACTCAGGCAGTTCTGTAGTGTCGTTAAATTTCCCCAAACTGTCATTCTCTGTTTTCTGATCATGAAGCTTTTAGGCTGCACATGTGCTGCGTTAGTCCTATCTCACCTTTATCTACTCAAATTCCTCAATATCAGGCACTATTACTGTGCCTGTGTAAAACACAGCAAGTTCTTATCCCAGTGCTGCCCCCGTTTTAGTGATATATGAAGCTGATACCCAAAAAGGTTGTGAACTTTGGCAATTTTAGATTTCTTTCTCTTTGAGGGGAGCAGAGGAGAAAATGGGGGCTGCACAGTAAAGTTGTGGATCAGCAAAATTTCTCAAATTTGGATACTTAACTTGTAAAAGGACGCTCATGTTTAGTGAAAGCAGTGCTTCACCTTCATTTTGTAATAGTGTTTCTCGTGGTGGCTTTTGGAGCCCAGCAAGCTCCATCTCAGCACATGGCCACTGGAAAACTTCCAGTTGGAGACACACGGGTGCATCCTTCATACCTTTCATATTCTTGGCCACGTTGAGCGGTGAAAACTTGGCGTTTTTCCGCCGTGAATGTTGGTGGTGCTTTCTGTTTGTCTTTCTCTCCTTCCAATAGAATGAGATGGTACGGGAGTTGGATGGCCACGTCCTGAAGTGCGTGAAAGACCAGAACGGTAACCACGTGGTGCAGAAGTGTATTGAGTGCGTGCAGCCTCAGTCCCTGCAGTTTATCATTGATGCATTTAAGGGACAGGTAAGTCCTTGGCCAAGATACTGACTCTCATTCTTTGTATTCTTCTGTGTTGCTTTGAACAGCACGAGAGTGGCTGTAACTTGTTCAACTATTTAGAATTTTAAATTTTAGCGAGCACCAGTTGAAAGGTTTATGCAGCGACGTTAGGGAGCCCGCAGACTCTTTGGTCGTGTCTCTGTTATCGTTTTTGTGCAGGTATTTCACAGTAAAGCGTCCTTGTAAAAATCTGTTTTCCTGGAACATCAAGTGTTTTTTGACTGATGGAGGGGAAAACAGATGTCTCGCAAATCCATCTTCATAGTAAAGGTGATGAGCAGAGTTTTGTGATGGGTATAGTAAACTTTCATCATGATCCCTGTTTGGGAGGGTGGCTTAGAGGCCTGATGTTTCCCAAGGGGCTCAAACCAGGGGGAAAACATGAGTTTCACCTAGAAAAAGGCAGTTACTTGTGCTTCATTCTTCCATTTTTTTCTTGGTATCCTCTCCTGAATTGATGTCCTGGATATTAACTGTGTAGCTGGCTTTGTTCTGCCTGTAGTCAGCTTGTCTTCCATTACAAAAGCGCTGGTTTGGGCGTTTCCAACTTCAATTTAATTGGCTTTGGAAGGGGACTTTGAAGTATTGAGGGTTTTGCCACAGGGATGTGAGGATAGCCTGGGGTTATTAGAGCAGGAACCAGGCTTTATTAGTTTGGCTGCTCCTGGAACAGCTATGAAAGTGGGGACTTGCTTGGCTATGTCAGAACAAGCAGGATTCTAGCTGGAAACTTGCTCAGCAAACTTACTGGTTAGAGTTTAGCTTTGGACCTTTTAGCTCAGGAGTGAGGCAAGGCAGAAATGCCTCTGGGAACTTGGTTGATGGCACTGACGTTTCTTTGACCAGCCAGCCCAGTTTCATCTGAACTTTCATATGGAGAATTAAACTTATCACCTCGAGACTTTTTCTGCAGTTAATTGCACTCCAAGTCCCGTTTTTCTGCACGGTTTACTCAATAGTTATTAAAAATTTGTAGACTGTTGAGTTAACATCAGGGCTTGGATTTGCTACTCTTGTTAATTTTAAGCAACCAAATAGGACTTTGTGCTTTAGACAGAAAATTGTGCAGCCGTAATAAAACGTGTCATGTTCTTACCAACAGATTTGGTAATCCGTTAGAAATGAGAAAGAAGGCTCTTTGTTGTCAGTTCTCCTAAGTGCAGTTAAGGCTTTTAAACAAATCCAAATAGTTGAGGAAAATCCTTTGCTGTGCCTTTTTAACCTTTCTGGGTCATACAGTTTCTTACATAGTTTAAAATACGTAGCTGGCAAGCAGTATGCTGGACTGATGCTTCTGAAACTGTTGTAACGCAGCTTCTGGTAACACTTGGCTGTCCCAGTGCTCTTTTTATTAATCAAGAGGCTTCATCATTTGTTTTCCTGTTTCATGAATGGGGAAGCTGAAACACAGGTAGGGATGTGATGTGCCTGCAGTCACCCAGTTAGTCCTGTGGCAGCGGGGAACAGATGTTTCCAGTTTCAGTTTATGCTGTCTGGAGCTGCGGTGCTGCAAGCTGGAGTTACCTACTGTGCCTGGGAAAAAACCAGCATGTGTTCATTTAATTCCGAAAGGTTTCTAGGATTCAGAAAGACTAACGGATGTGTTGCTGCCTATGCTTGCCTGTCTTTGTTGAACGCAGGTTTTTGCGTTGTCTACACATCCATATGGCTGTCGCGTGATCCAGAGGATCCTCGAGCACTGTCTTCCTGAGCAGACCCTTCCCATCTTGGAGGAACTTCACCAACACACCGAACAGCTTGTTCAGGTCAGTGTGGGAAGGAGGAATGTGGGTGCTGGGAGATGTTTCTCGGTTTCTGGTTTGTATTAGGAGAGCTCCTGGCAGCCTGTTTGGAACTCCAGCTACAGTGCTGCTGACGTCGTGCGAACACAGGGACTCGGTTCCTTAGGAGGAATGCGGAAGAACATGGCAGCCAAGAAATGCATCGTCACTGATTGGTTTGGCTATGTGCAAATATCCAGCAAGTATCAAAGCTGTGGCACTCCCCTTTTTGATAAGGATGGCACATGTCCTAACACTTGACTACAGAAGGTATAGTGCAAGTGAGATCTTAAGGGAGTTGACACAAGGAGCTGATTACTTCTAGGAAAAGAGTAACCGGGGTTCTTAAAACGTGTTGGTTTTATGCACACCCCCTGCCTGGCTGCCTTTCCTCTTCCTTGCAGTCCTTCTGAGAACTTGTGTTACTAAGATTCTGGTGTAGAGGCATGATGGGTATAACAGTATATGAACCCTGTCCTGTATGCTCACGTATTTGGCACATGGAAAGTGGGAAGAGGTCGGGTGTGGAGGTGAGGTGTCAGCCCATGGCTCTGGTATTGTGAAGTGGAAAAGCAGATATCTTGTGGTCTGAATATACACACATTCCGAATATGAACAGGCGTAAGGACAGCCTTCCGTTCAAGGGTGGTGTTTTGCTTTTCATACTTGGTACAGAGATGTAGTATTTTACCTGCTGCTAAAACTCCAGAACGCATGTTTTGGTAGAAGTAGAAAGTATATATGATTTGTACAGTGTATATTTTAATCCGTGTTTAGTCCAAGTTTGTAAGTCTTAATGCACACTGGGAACTAGTTTGCTATTAATGGTTCCTGTCCACGTTTTGTAACACACTTGTGCTGTCTCTCAAACAGGATCAGTATGGGAACTATGTTATCCAGCATGTACTAGAACATGGTCGGCCTGAAGATAAGAGCAAGATTGTAGCAGAAATTAGAGGCAACGTGCTGGTGTTGAGTCAACATAAATTTGCTAGGTATGAGTTTGTTCCTTAAAGTCTCCACGCCCTGTGGGAGTATGTACATGTGCTAGAGTTGCAGAAGACTTAGGGGTGGGGTGTAGGTAGGTGAAAGGAGGTAAAAATAACTTTTTGCTTAACAGCAGAATGCTATTTATGAGTTCTTGTAAACTGGGATGAGTAACTGGCAAGGTAAGTTTTACTCGTAATGAAGGAGGTTGGAGATGTGGAGGAGTAGCTCTAATCCAAGTTCCTGAACTTGACCAATAGTTTTTGTGTTTGTTGGGTTTTTTTTTTGGTTTAGTGATTTTTAAGTGGTTGCTATCCCTTGGATAATAACGTGCCATAAGAGCATTGCACGGCCTCTGGGATGCTGTGTTAAGCTACAAGAGAATTTGGGAAATCGGTGTAGCAACAGCTCACTTTCATCCCACTTTTCACGGAAGAATCTGGGATTTTTGGGAGTCTTGCAGTCCTTTTTGAGACACATACATCATGATGTCCTCTTAGGGAAGCTGCAGCAGTCCGAGGTTGTTAGTCTGGATGCTGAAGAGCTACCCATGGGTAGAACCAAAATCCAGGTATCTTAATGGATGTCAAAATGAAGCAATAACTTCCCACACTTACAAATTCCTTTTGTGTGTATTTTCAGCCATTTGAAGGTGAAGGCTGAGCTCTTCAAAGGCTCAGTGTTCCCCTCTTTTTTTTGATTGTAATTTTGATTAGTAAAACAGTGCTTTACTACGACACACAAAGAACAACTCGTCTGCTTCTCCGGTGGGCACGCTGTGAGGACAGACACTGATCTCAAACACAGCGTCGCTGTAGAGATGCACAAATTTGGGTGAAATAAATCCTGAACTGGTCCTTTACCCAAATTCCCACTCAGATCCCAAGTTCCTCGGACTGCTCTTCTGTTTTGCATTGCTAAACTTCCGTGCCAGCACATCTCTCCCAAACGGTCTGCCCGTCCTAGAAGCGTAAGAGATCTCGGGGTTGAATGAAAAGCTCCGTAGAGATGTCGTTCCTCACAGATTTCCCTTGTTGTTCCAGCAACGTGGTGGAGAAGTGCGTCACTCACGCCTCGCGTACGGAGCGCGCCATGCTGATCGACGAGGTGTGCACGATGAACGACGGCCCTCACAGTGCCTTATACACCATGATGAAAGACCAGTACGCCAACTACGTGGTGCAGAAGATGATCGATGTGGCAGAACCGGCTCAGCGGAAGATTGTCATGCACAAGGTAAGCAGCTGCTGTCGGTGGAGGAGGACGTACGGCTTGTTGCTGTCACACTGGTTGCAGAGAGGAATTCAGGCTGAGATGATTGCTTTTGCCATCAGAATTTCCGAACAACAGAGGTGTTTCAAAGTTGAGTGTTTCAGTAGTGGCTGAAATAGGAGAATGTGAAATAACGAGATGCCATTTGGACTTAAAACTAGCTGGTTGCTTCTAGCAATCTCTTCTGACCTAGTAACCCAGTTCTGCACTTGTGGTGTAGCAAATGCTGGGAAAAAAACAAACACACACTGAGACTTTTACTGCTGCGGTACCTTGCGAGGGTCCTCAGAAGGTCTGGCGATGACGACACACTTGCCCTCACTGAGAACAGCGTTCGCTGACGAGAGCGGTTTCATGCGCTCAGTGGAGCCGAGCCAGACCTCGACACACCTCTTCTCTATTTCTTGGTTTTGAATAGTTTCATAGAATCACAGAATGGTTGGGGTTGGAAGGGGACTCGGAGATCATCCAGTTCCAACCCCCCTGCCATGGGCAGGGACACCCTCCACTACACCAGGTTGCTCAAAGCCTCATCCAACCTGGCCTTGAACACTTCCAGGGATGGGGCAGCCACAGCTTCTCTGGGCAACCTGTTCCAGTGCCTCACCACCCTCAGAGGGAAGAATTTCTTCCTTAGATCCCATTGAAATCTCCCCTCTTTCAGTTTAAAGCCATTGCCCCGTGTCCTGTCACTCCACGCCCTTGTCCAAAGCCCCTCTCCAGCTTTCTTGTAGCCCCTTTAGGTGCTGGAAGATCTCCCAGGAGCCTTCTCTTCTCCAAGTTTTTGATGAGAGACTTCCAGGGTTTAGTGTTATGCCGCAGTGTTTGAATTCATAACAGTTTCAAGACTTAATATTTGTCAAAAATGAAGACATTTTGGAATTAAATATGCATTGCTGCCAGTCCTGCTTCCCAAGGCTATATGCCTCCCTTGGGGCAGCAGGCTCTAAAAATCAGGTGATGTCTTCATTTTCCTGCTTTTAAAGGTCACATTTGTGGGTCTTTATTTTTTCCATTCACTACAGTTATAGACTTTTAAATGTGTAGTGGAACTGAGATTATTTTCTTCAGTCCCTGGTTTTAGGGTCTGTTACTTTGTGAAAAATGCCACCCAGAGCCAGACCTCTTATTAGAAATAAAATACTGACTAACACTGGCTTAGAAACCCCATATTTATTTTTTATTTAAGAGCAACTATGAGGAGTGTCAGATGTGCAAACCTCAGTGGAATCAAGTGTATTTAAGAATCCTTGAGTAAAATGGACCAAGTGATTTTTCCGTAAAAAGAAGTGGGTGTTACCTGTGCAAAGGAGCTGATTTTTAGCCACAAATGGCAGTTGATCAGTATATAAACAACATATATGCAGCTGAAATAATCTTCGGGGAGGTTAATTCTTAGGTTTAGGAATCATTCAGAGTAGTTCTTTTAAACCAACATCTGTGTTAGTCCAAAACAAATCATGAAGATAATTAAATAAAAATGTGTGGCAACGGATATGCACAGCTTGACTGTAGCAAAATGACCCGTAGCTTTGCTAATCTACAGATAGAGATATGTATATATTAAAAAAGAAAATAGGAATGACTGGTGGGTTGGCCATGGCTGGATGCCAGGTGCCCACCAAAGCTGCTCTTACCATGTCCCTCCTCAGCTGGACAGGGCAGAGAAGACGTAACGGAAGACTCGTGGGTGGAGACACGGACAGGGAGGGATCACTCAGCAATTACCCTCACGGGCAAAACAGGCTCGACTTGGGGAAAGTAGTTTAATTTATTGCCAATCCAAATCAGAGTAGGGTAATGAGAAATAAAACCCAATCTTAAAACACCTTCTCCCCACCCCTCCTTTCTTCCTGGGCTTAACTTTAATCCCGAATTCTCTGCCTCCTGCCCCGGAGCGGCGCAGGGGGTGAGGAATGGAGACTGCGGTCAGCTCATCACGCGTTGTTTCTGCCGCTCCTTCCTCCCCAGGGGAAGGGTTCCTCAGGCTCTTCCCCAGCTCCAGTGTGGGATCCATTCCCACAGGAGACAGTTCTCCATGAACTGATCCAGTCTGGGTCCCTCCCACGGGGTGCAGTCCTTCAGAAACAGCCTGAGTCCCCTGTGGGGTCACCAGTCCTGCCACCAGACCTGCTCCAGCCTGGGCTCCTCTCTCCACGGGTCCTGCCTCTCTCCCCACAGTGTTACAGCCCTCTTTGGGCATCCAGCTGCTCTGGTGTGGGGTTCCTCCATGGGCTGCAGGTGGATCTCTGCTCCACCATGGACCTCCATGGGCAGCAGGACAGCCTGCCTCACCATGGTCTTCCCCACGGGCTGCAGGGGAATCTCTGCTCCAGCACCTGGACCACCTCCACCACCTCCTCCCCCTCCTTCTTCACTGACCTCGGTGTCTGCAGAGTCGTTGCTCTCACACATTCTCTCTCCTCTTTTCCAATGCAGTTCTGCAGGGTTTATTTTTCCTTCTGAATTACGTTATCCCAGAGGAGTTTCCACCGTCGCTGATGGCTTTGGCCAGTGATGGGTCCGTCTTGGAGCTGGCTGGCACTGGCTCTGTCAGACATGGGGGAAGCTTCTGATGGCTTCTCGTAGAAGCCCCCTGGTTACCCAGACTTTGCCACACAAACCCAACACAGTGATCTTTACTGCCGTGGTGTTCTTCCTGGCAAGCAAAGTCTTTTGAATAAAACGCTAATTAGCAATCAGGGTGGTTGTCACAAGCAGAAGTGGGATGACACCTAAGTGGGAGTGGCTGAGTGGGAAGATTCCAGCTACGTTATGGAACTGAGCAGGAGCTGGGGATAGTGGAGTGGATCGACTGCTGCTTTTGGGTTGTGAAAATTGCTGCTGGTGCCAACAAGCGGTTTGCGTCACTGTTAAAGACCGCACTCTTATTGGAAAATAAATAAATATATGAAAATTGAAAAGGAACTTTAACAGTCAGGTCTGTCAGTTAAAAAAAAAAAAGTCTTAGGAATGGCAACGAACAAAGAACCAACTGTTGGACCTGGGGAGTTTTTCTTCTCCTTAACCTCAGAGCAGCAGTCACCTTCTTGGAAATGGGATGTGGGGAGGGCCAGAGCATCAATTTCTGCTTATTACAAGGTGAGTCCTGGAACTAAAATAGGAATGTGAACGGTTAGAGGCTGAGCTGGTGAAATGGGATGAGTTTGGGATGGGTTTCCCACGGGGGTTTCGGGTCAGCCTGGCTCAGGCAGGTGGTGGTGACGTACCCACCACGTCGTGCTCTGGGTATTTTCTCATCCTGTCTGCGGCTTCCACCATGGAGTAAAAGATCTGTTGTAATTGTGTTGGTGACGGAACGTGCTGGTGGTGTGGGATATTTCTCATCTAGGAATGAAAATGAATTGCTCTTACGTCTCGTTCCTGTGAAACTGGCCAGGAGAACTTGAGCAGCCTGATGATGTTACTAGAGCGAGTCAGCTGTCCTTGTTGGGGTGCTCTGGCCGCGGTCATGACAGTGACGTTAAAAGTGACTTTCACTGTGGAGCGGTGTGAGCGGGTGAAGCTTGTTCTTCTCTGCTAAAAATAAATATTTTAATTATCAAGTTCAGAAATCAAACTGCTGTTTAGCCCAGGACCACTGCGTGCCTCTCCCAGTACCTCTTCCAAGTAGACTGCTGGAATTCATACCAGCAGCTCGTTGAGGCTTTCAGCAGTTCTGAAACTCAGCCTGGAGCCTGGAAGGAGCCACAGACCCTGCTCAGGATCAGCCAAAGCCGCTCGACCCCACTGGGCCCTTCTGGTGCCTTTTCTGCCTCCATGTGTTTGCCCCCGCGCTGGGGGCAGAGCGTCGGGGCACCCTTAGGAAGCCCAAGCACTCAGGGGTTGTGTCTTCCCAGCTTCCTCTCTTGGGACAAAGCCTTGTATCCATCTCCACACTGGGATCCAACTGAATTCCAGTAATGTGAGTCAAGATGAGGCCACCTGCTTGACCAGAAGTTCCTCCTAAAAATATCATCAGTGAGTTATGGATCATAGAATCACAGTCTGGTTTGGGTTGGAAGGGACCTCAAAGATCATCCAGTTCCAACCCCCCTGCCATGGGCAGGGACACCCTCCACTACACCAGGTTGCTCAAAGCATCATCCAGCCTGGCCTTGAACACTTCCAGGGATGGGACAGCTACAGCTTCTCTGGACAACCTGGTCCAGTGCCTCAGTACCCTCAGAGGGAAGAATTTCTTCCTTAGATCCCATCGAAATCTCCCCTCTTTCAGTTCAAAGCCATTGCCCCGTGTCCTGTCCCTCCACACCCTTGTCCAAAGCCCCTCTCCAGCTTTCCTGTAGCCCCTTTAGGTACTGGAAGGTGCTGGAAGGTCTCCCCGGAGCCTTCTCTTCTCCAGGCTCAACAGCCCCAACTCTCTCAGCCTGTCTCCATGGCAGAGGTGCTCCAGCCCTCGGATCATCTCCGTGGCCTCCTCTGGCCCCGCTCCAGGGTTAGCTTGATTCACAGTTACGGATGCGATTACAGCAAATGCCACTTGAATATTTCAGACATTTTTGTGGTCTTCTGGTCTTCTGCTGGTGGCGAACGCTTTGACCATATGGTACCAGGAGCTCACTCAGGGTTGACGTGCCCGTAATTTGGTTCCTGAGCTTCACTCCCTCTTCTTTTCTCTCCTAGATCCGGCCTCACATCGCTACCCTGCGTAAATACACCTACGGCAAACACATTTTGGCCAAGCTGGAGAAGTACTACATGAAGAACGGGGTGGACCTGGGGCCCATCTGTGGGCCACCCAACGGCATCATTTGAAGCAGCGAACTGGGAAGGAGCTCCTTGGCCACCCGGCACCTACAACCAGCAACCGACAATATTCCAATATACAGTTAGAAAAGGTTTTATGGTTGCTAAACTGCTAAAAAAAAAAAAAAAAAGGAAGGAAAAAAAAGAAAAAGCCTTTGTAAATTTCTTTAATTTTATTATGCATAACATGTACTAATTATTTTTTTTAATTAACTAATTGCCCTGCTGTTTTACTGGTGTATAGAATACTTGTACATAGGTATCAAATGTACATGGAAGGCCACATTTTTGTTCACTGTTGTATCTATATTCCAAATGTGGAAACTTTCAGGGTGGTTGGTTTGAAGAAAACAAACAAAAATAATGTTTTTAATTCATCTGCCTTGCAGGCAACTTTTTTGCAAATACCCATTTTGTTGTTTTTTTTTTTCTCCTTTTAGTCAAAAGTCAGCAAGAAGTTTGAATTTTAGTTAAATGGCAGAGACGACGCATTTAACGCTGTTTATAAATATATATAAAAAAATCAACTCGCTAAAGCTTCAGTTTAAAAAAAAATTAAGTTTTTGAAACTTTTTAATTGCCTTTTTTTTTTTTTCCTCCAGTATAACATGCTGAAGGAGGTAGCTTAGCTGTTGGGGTTTTTTTTGGGGGAAGAAAACATACACACCCAGCAAGTTTTTAAAGCAAGGGGGTAGGGGGGCGACGGGTGTACTTGTTTACTGCCTACTCAGTTTGTTCTGTTAACATTGAGAGACACAATTTGATTATTTAGCATGAGGAAACGAAAAAAAAAAGAAGAAAAACAAAATCCAACTTGGCTTTGGTCTTGCTTCTATAAATATATAGTGTATACTTGGTGTAGACTTTACATATATAAAAATTTGTAGTATTTTCTTGTTTTGATGTCTGATCTGTATCTATAATGTACCCTAAGTAGTGGAACATACTTCTGACTGTACAATTGTACATTTGTAAACCTCTGTAATGTAAATGTGGAGAAGTTTGAATCGACATAAACCCGTTTTTTGGTAAGGAGAAAAAAAAAAAGGAAAAAAAAAAAAGAATTAGCAAAACCTGTGCATTTCAGTGTATATTCACACCTTTTATGGTCGTAGCATATAGTGTTGTATATTGTAAATTGTAATTTCAACCAGAAGTAAATTTTTTCTTTTGAAGGAAATGTTCTCTTTATACAGCCTAGTTAATGTTTAAAAGGAAAAATAAAATAAATGCTTGGTTTTATTTGTCACCTAGTTGAACAGTAGCGATCCTTTCTAAATGTTATACAAAAATGATTCAGTTCAAAATAGTGTTTTTTTGAATCTTAAAAAGTAATGTTTTGCTTATTTTGTGACAGTAAGAAACAAAAAGTGCAAAAGTACAGAACCCCCCTAGTTTTCCTTACAATCAGAGTCCCTTTTCACCTTGTAAAGTGTGAATCACCTTCCCTTTTTGTACAGAAGATGAACTGTATTTTGCATTTTGTCTACTTGTAAGTGAATGTAACATACTGTCAATTTTCCTTGTTTGAATATAGAATTGTAACACTACACGGTGTACATTTACAGAGCCTTGTGTATATTTCCAATGAACTTTTTTGCAAGCACACTTGTAACCATATGTGTATAATTAACAAACCTGTGTATGCTTATGCCTGGGCGACTATTTTTTGTAACTCTTGTGTAGATTGTCTCTAAACAACGTGTGATCTTTATTTTGAAAAATACAGAACTTTGGAATCTGGCTTCGGCTTTGCTTTCAGCACCTTCCACAGCGTCACCCCCGCAGCTCTTTGCCTCTTTTTTTTTTCTTTTTTTTATTTAAGAGCAACTCTCTCCCTCTGCCAAGTGGCTGTGTCTGCTCTAAGCAGGAGATACACATGGAATCGTGGAATGGTTTGGGTTGGAAGGGACCTTCAAGACCATCTAATCCAACCCCCCTGCTATGGGCAGGGACACCCTCCACTACACCAGGTTGCCCAAAGCCTCATCCAACCTGGCCTTGAACACTGACAGGGATGGGGCAGACACAGCTTCTCTGGGAAACCTGCTCCAGTGCCTCAGCACCCTCAGTCTCTAATGTAAATCTCCGCTCTTTCAGTTTAAAGCCATTGCCCCGTGTCCTGTCACTCCTCACCCTTGTCCAAAGCCCCTCTCCAGCTTTCCTGTAGCCCCTTTAGGCACTGGAAGGTCTCCCCGGAGCCTTCTCTTCTCCAGGCTGAACAGCCCCAACTCTCTCAGCCTGTCTCCAGAGCAGAGGTGCTCCAGCCCGCGCGTCATCCCCATGGCCTCCTCTGGACCTGCTCCAACAGCTCCATTTTCCAATGGAAAATGAAGAACAGAGCAACCACGTGTATCTCTGCCTCCCACTATTGCCACCCCTCCTGGGCTCTGGGATTTTGGCTTTTTCCCCTCTCTGAGCACATCCAAACCTCCTCTGAGCCCGTACAAACTCGTAGCACCCACAGCCTCCATCCTCTGGCAGTAAGTTGGAGACGAACAACCAGCAAGTGTCTCTCGGTCATTTTAAGTGCCACAACTCTTGCAGAGAGGGGCAGGGAAGAACTGCATGGAGCTTCTCACCTTCTGTTCGTGGTTTCCTCTCCTGCTTTCATCCTCCCATCCCTCCTGCCCTCTTTCCAGGCTGGGGTTGATGGTCCATGGAGTTGATGGTTGTGCAGAAGCTACTTGTATCCTCATCTTCCTCATTTTTGGAGGAGGAAAGGGGACTGGGGAGCTGCATCCAGCACTCGAGGTGGGGACTCAGTGCTGTCAAGTGCCGTGATGTCTTCTGGGTCATTGAGAACTGCTAGAAAAGCAAGAGCAAGCACCGAGCTTGTGTTTCCGTGGGGCCTTTCCCTGCGCCGAGCTCTCGTTCCCGGGGGGTAACGTTCAGGTCTGAGCCCAGCGCTTGGGTGAGCAAAGCCAGGACTGTCCTGCTCCCCCACGTCGTGTCCCACCCCTGCTCCAAGTTCATCATCTGCTGCCCAGGCCATGTTCTTGTGCAACTTCTCAGCCCACCCCTATCCTTTACACCCCCAGTTCCCTCTCGGAGAAGCTCCAGCTCTTCCTTTTGTCCCCTTCGCTGCCAAACAGGGCTCCACGTGTGACCCTTGCTCAGGGGGAAAATCGGCCACTTCTCACCACCAATTTTTCTTCGTTTACAAGCGTGAAGGACCTTCTCTGCTGCTTTTAAAGACCTTTTCTGGAGGTTGGCACCAGAACCAGTTGGGAAATCCTGAGAAGTTTGAGCACTTGTGCAAATAGGGTGATGTGTGATAAATTAATGGAGGGGAAGAAACTTCCCATTTTACAGGAAATTCTTTTTTTTTCTTTTGGCTCAAGGCATTAAAACGTTTGATTTTTGGAGTATGTGTCCAATTACCGATCCTTCCTGCGCTGCCACTTTCTTCTTCTCACCCCTCAACAAAAACCAATACCCCAGTGCCCCAGCGGTGGCTGTAACCAGTTTTCACATCTGTTGTTGCTAAATTTAGCGTCAGGAGCTGACTTGGGCTTTCTGACACCTTTTTGGCCCCGGGTTTGACGCCGGCGATAGGCGACAGCCGTCGTGCCGAGCCACCACGGGGTTATGGCAGCTCCTGGGTCCCGTGTCCCGGAGCCTTTGGGGCTCCTGCTCTTACAGTTTTTTAACGCTTCGTTTAACCTCGTGTTTCTTCTTCTGGGCCCCCGCAGGTCTGGGCTTAACCCCAAAGGCAGCAGCAAAGGTGTCCAGGTACAGTTTTAACTCTTGCCCAGACTTGCAAATTCCTGCCCCATTCCTGAGCCGGAGGGAAGGATCTGGCCAGCAGTGCCTGAGTGCCGGCACGGCCAGAGCCCAGCCTGGGCAGCTGCCCCCTGGCCAGCGGTGTTGGCCTTGCCAGGGTGAGGAATGGGGCACGGCAGGGGCTTGCCGGGAAGGATACGGCCAGGTCATTCCATGCGGGCCCCTCTGGTTATTCCTGGGCATGGCTACTGGTGCTGCTGGAGAAAGGATGTGAAGGGATCCATAATGTCAACCGGGATCCATCACATAAGCCGGGATCATAGAATCATAGAATCCTAGAATGGTTTGGGTTGGAAGGGACCTCAAAGATCATCTAGTTCCAACTCCCCTGCCATGGGCAGGGAAACCCTCCACTACACCAGGTTGCCCAAAGCCTCATCCAACCTGGCCTTGAACAGTTCCAGGGATCCGTTGTGACATCTGGGATCCATCACATAAGCTGGAGTCTGTCATGATATCCAGGATCCATCATGACATCCAGGATCCACCACATAAGCCCGGGTCCATCATGACATCCAGGATCCATCATGACACCAGGATTCCTGACATAAGCTGAGGTCTGTCACGATGTTCAGGATCCATCATGTAAGCCGGAGTCCATCATGATGTCCAGGATCCATCACATAAGCCCGAGTCCATCATGACGCCCAGGATCCACCACGACACTCCAGGTCCATCACATCAGCCAGGATCCGTCACACCAGCAAGGATCCATCATGACACCCGGGTTCCATCGCATCATCCAGGATCCATCACACTCACCCTGACCCAACAAAACAAGATCTCCCACTTCCAGCGGAGCCACGGTGGGGTAGAG